CCCCCCCGGTGACACCGGCTGCTGGGCAGCCTGGACCGAGGGCACGGTCCAGCAAATGGCAAATTTGTGTGTTCTTATGTGACTCCCCGCTGGTGTCGCACTTCAGCCTGACCCCCTTGAAAATCTCCCTCCCTTTCAGTATAACGAAATGGTTGCCGGGCGGGTTGTGACGGGCCGTGTTGCAGCCCGGGTGTGTGAACGCTTCCTAATGCAAGGCGTTCTCGTCGCGGTGATTCCTACATAACGCGCCCGCGGGTACGTGTCTCTCACCACAGTTAGTAGTAACGGCTGTATTTTGCATTGGATTCCCAAGTAGCTGAGATGACAACAGCTGCCAGGCCAACGTTTGAACCTGCGAGGGGCGGGCGAGGAAAAGGCGAAGGAGACTTAAGCCAGCTCTCCAAGCAGTACTCCAGCAGAGATCTTCCTTCTCACACTAAAATCAAATACAGGTAAGCGCCGGTTTGTTTCTCCTGAAATATTTTGCGCAGCGATTCTTCGTTAACAAAGCTAGTCTGAGACGCGAGTAATTATTGAAAACAAGTACTATAATTATTAGCCCTCTGCGTGGAAAGGGGCTTACTGCTGAACTAGAAAAAGAACTTCTGCAATTTTTAGCCTAAGGGGCAGATACAGAAGATAAAATGGATTGGAAATTATTAGAGCGTTTTATTATTGAACGTACTATTAACTTGCGATGTGTGGGTACCATGATGGAAGCAAGTATTCAGAAGTGGTCTGGGTACACAGAGGGTGAACTGGATAAGAAAGATATCCTGCACCCAGAGGTTGTTTTGGGCAAGGATATAGGGACATGTTAGACAGGAAGACGTAACTGTATGCATATCATAACTGGTAACATTTACAGAACAAATAAGGTGATGAGACATGCTAAAAATGGTTTTTGAGGTTGGATGGGGTCTTAAAAAAAAAAAAAAAAAAGGACAGATAGTTTTGAATGAACATATTGATTAAAAAATAACCTGTGGAGAGACTGGCAGGTGGAGGAGGATAATAGACTCTCATTGTGCAAGGTAGATCACTTGGCAGTTTTGCCCGTTCACTTCCAGTATCTTCAGTGATGTTTTCCTTTACTTTTGTTACCAACCACATTCTGAAAGTGTTTGTTCTTTAGGTCAGAGGTGTCAAATATATGGCCTGTGGGCCAGATCTGTCCCATGCAGCCCTATCATTCAGTCTGCGGTGCTGCCTATAGGTCTCGGATCATCCCCATGTGCTGGATGTGAGGCAATAGACTAGCTCCCCACACAACGTGGGGCTGGCATGCTTACTGCATGCAGTATGTGGGACTGGTCCAGGAAGCATGCAATTCTAGCATGCAGGGGACAGTCTGTATACCTGATTTCAGCCTGTAGACTGGCCCTATGCCTTTCATTTGATCTGCTGGGCTGAATGAGTTTGATGCTCCTGCTTTAAGTTTATGATGGCTTTTTTAGTAGAAGGAATGTTGTTGTGATTTTTCATTTACAGAGAGCAGTGTAGGCAAAAATGCATATGAGTATATAATATATAACTTATTGTTCTTTTGGGTGGGTTTTTGTTTGTTTGTTTGTTTGTTTGTTTTTGGTATCTTCTGCCATTCTTCCTGAACACTGATCTAATAGGTTGGCTTTGTTAAATATATAGCCAGAACTTCATCACACAAATTTAAAAGTGGTCACTTTAGTCCCTCACCTCTTTTTGAATGACATGGTAACATTTTGGATTCTTGTGATGGTACCAGAGGTAACATCAATTGTGGGCACTCCAGTTCCTTGTTCTTATTTATACAGTAGGAAAATTGAACAATATGTTAATACTTATGGTATATTTTATAACTGCTGAAATCTAGGATTCCTTTAGGTGTTGTAAGCACTTATTTCTAGAAGTGAGTTCATAGAGGGGTGGAGTTCATTCCTGTTCATTTCATTTGTTTTACTTTCTTTTAATATTGGCACCTAAAATTGAACAGTCCTTGGAAACCTTATATTAATGTGGGTTAATATAAATCAACTTTGCTGACAGAGACTTCTTAAGTATGCATGAGTGGAAATATTGTATATAAAAATTTATTGATGTGCTTTTTCCTACTTAGAAAATTAGGGTTGGAAAGGACCTTAGGAGGTCAAGACTGTTCTCAGTGGTGGCAGATGACAGAACAAGGAACAACGGGCTCATGTTGCAGCAAGAAAAGTTTAGGTTGGATATTAGGAAAAACTCTCTCACTAGGAGGGTAGTAAAGCACTGGAACAGGCTACCCAGAGAAGTTGTGGAATCTATATCCTTAGAGGTTTTCAAGACACCGGTAGACAAATCCTTGGTTGGGATGATCTAGTTGGGGACAGTCCTGTTTTGATCAGGGAGGTGGACTAGACCTCCTAAGGTCCCTTCCAGCCCTAATTTTCTAAGTAGGAAAAAGCACATCAATAAGTGTTTATATACAATATTTCCAATCATGCATATTTAAGAAGTCTCTGGTACCATCACAGAAATTAGGGTTGGAAGGGTCCTTAGGAGGTCATCTAGTCCAACTCCCTGTTCAAAGCAGGACTGTCCCCAACTAGATCATCCCAACCAAGGATTTGTCTACCAGTGTCTTGAAAACCTCTAAGGATGTAGATTCCACAACTTCTCTGGGTAGCCTGTTCCAGTGCTTTACTACCCTCCTAGTGAGAGAGTTTTTCCTAATATCCAACCTTAACTTCTCTGGCTGCAACATGAGCCCATCCTCTTTGGAACCCCACTTCAAGTAGTTGAACACTGTTATTAAATCCTCTCTCAGTCTTTTCTTCTGCAAACTAAATAACCCCAGTTCCCTCAGCTTCTCGTAAGTAGGGACCTACCTAAACTGTGGTGCAAGTGTGCTAATTTTGTTCCTTGTCATGTGTCTTCCCCCCCTCTGCCCCCATCCCCCAGGCTGATTAGAGGGGTACTGGTGACCCCACTGCTTGTTGCTTATCAGCCAAGAGATAAAAAAAAATACTGTCTTAAAATATGCCATGGTTTTTGTCTGCTGGCTGATCAGTGACGAGCAGCAGGACAACTGGGGCCCCATAGCCAATCAGCAGTGGGAGGCAAAAAAACCGTGGCCTATCTAAAACAGTGTTCTTTGCATCCTAACCAATGACCAGCAAGCAGCAGGACTGCTGGGTCTCCACCACTCAGCAGGGGGGTGGGGGAGCATGGCAAAAAGAGCAAGATTAAAGGAACTGCTGTGCAGTGCATTTCTGCCAAGATTTAGGTAGGTTCCTGCTCATAAGTCATGTTCCCCAGCCCTCTAATCACTTTTATTGCACTCCACTGGACTCTTCATTTTTTCCACATCCTTTTGGGAGTGGTGGGAGCAAAACTGGATAGAGTACTCTGGATGCAACCTCAACGGTGCTGAATAAAGGGAAGTAATCACTTCCCTCAATCTGTTGGCAATGCTCTTACTAATGCAGCCCAGTATGCTGTTGGCCTTCTTTGCAAAAAGGGCACAGTTGTTTGGAGGCTAGGAAAAAAACATTTGTCATCTGATCATCTCTCTAGGATTAACTGAAAATACACTGCCCTCTTGATCTTATCTGAAGAGGCCTGGGAAAACATGCATCCAGCAATAACTCAGGCTGTTATCATTTATAAAAGGAGGGGAAGAAAGAATGCTGTCCAGACCACCAGATCCTGGTGTTGTCTGGTACCGTATGTTTGGATACTGTAGTATTAGGTGTGTTAGGAGTAGGGAAGAGAGAGAGGGTCATTCCCTAACTTGCAGGTATCCTGTCTGGTCTTTAGATTCTGTTTGGAAGCCAGTGGAAATTAGATGAAGTTTTAATAATTTATTGCTAGAGTAAGAGTTCCCCTCTAATGACATTTCATGCTCTGCATTGCCCAAAAGAATATTTTGATTCCTGGTAACCACTTCTCACACGCAAATTTCCACATGGCCTGCATGTGGAAATTGTTACCAACTAACAGCCATCTCTTCTCATTTCTTTTTTCATGTCTGGTTCTAGACAGACCACTCAGGATGCTCCTGAGGAAGTGCGTAACCGCGACTTCAGAAGGGAACTGGAGGAGAGAGAACGTGTTGCTGCAAGAGAAAAGAACAGAGACAGACCAACAAGAGGTAACAGAATTACATACTGTAACAAATCCAGGTTGGGCATCAGGAGGACAAAATCTAGGAACTCATGTTTCAGAAATGCGGGCTCAGAGTCCCTGAGCTGAAGGAGAGCTTCTGCTAAGTATTGCTGCTACCAGAAGACCTATCTTTAGGCCAGGCACTAGAAAATATACTTGGTGTCAGATTGGTGCAATACTAAAGGATCTTTTACTCTTGAAAGAAATTCATATTTTCATGTTCCTTATGGTGTTAGTGAGACATATTATTAATACCTGAGTGCTGGTGTACTGTGGAATGGGAATGATCATATGGAATTTAGTATTTTAGTCTGCATGGTGATGTATATAAAATGTACTACTAGTAGCTTAAAGCAATAATTGTATCTAGGTATTAATACAGCATCCATTAGAGAGGTTGGAAGATAAGGACATTCATACTCTAAACTGCAAAACATGTGTTGCCTGCGGTACTCCAAATCCTCAGTGCTTATCAGCAGTCTTCATGCAACACTGGGGGTTCCTTTCTCATTTGGATCTCGAAAGTTGAGCAGTTTAACTATAGCTTCCCCTGTTAACCTCTTTCCCCTTTGACATAATTACCTAGAACAGCAGTTCCCTAATTGACAGATTACGTACCGTCAATTTAAAATGATACGGCCTTAAGTACCACCAGCAAATTTTTCATACACATAGGTAACAGACTGCGTATTAGAACAGGGGCAGTAGCTGGGGTAGATGGGGCTCCAGGGTGGGTTGTGGAATGGTTGGAACCCCAGGAGGCTCATCCAGTGGTGCAGGGAGGCTCGTGCTACTGCGCACACCCTGGGGGAAGCATGGAGGCATGTACCCCCTGGATTTGGCTGTCGGGTGGAGGCTCTGCCCCACTGCTGTTGTCTTGGGAGCCGCATGTGATGCCATGCGCCTCCTGTGTGCTGGCTGCACTGTCCCCCGCCTGGCAGCAGGAAGCACATGACATCGCAATCGACTCCTGAGGCAACAGCAGTGCGATGCAGAACCCAGCATGCAATGGGTAGCCTGCCTCCACCCCATGCACAAATCTGGGGGGCACATCCCCCCCCCCATGCCTCCCCCTGGGGTGCATGCAGAGGTAGGAGCCCGCCCCGTGCCTCTGAATGAACTGCCCAGGGCCCCATTCACCCCAGCCCTTACCTCTACCCCTCCCTCCCTCACTGTGGGGGGGGCCTTGATTTGTGCCCCCCTCCCCACTTACCTGCTGGGTGCTGCTCCAAACTTGGCTGCCTGCAGCAGGCTACAGCTGGGTGTCTGCACTGTGTGCACTGCTCCCCACCAGCCTTCCATTGCCTATACACATACCACTTGCAGGTTGTCTGCGTACCACAGTTTGGGAACTGCTGACTTAGAATTTAAACATTCAGTGTTTCTTTGATTTTTGGGTGCACCAGGAGCCCTTCTCTGGTTATCTTTGTAGAAGGGGTCAGCTCAGGCAATAGGAGTTAAAGGAGTGCTAAAAAATATGTGCAAGCTTTTATTCTAAGGAGTGACAAATCACTTCGAAAAAAAGGTTATTTTATATAGTTCCTGTGTTTGCGTGAGGTAAGGTCAGGTTTATCAGACATTTGCTACATCTGTTCCTTTGTTTCAGTACCTTTTTATTTCTTTCCCCACAGATCATACAACATCATCTTCAGTGTCTAAGAAGCCCCGATTAGATCAAATTCCTGCAGCAAATCTGGATGCAGATGATCCACTTACAGACGTATGTATTCTCTGCTGTCCTCCACAGGGTATTTGCTAAAGGTACATTTTGTGCTTGCATATGTGTTGAGGGCATTGAAACAGGTAACCACCAGATAATGGTTCAAGCACATCTTTCTGAAACATCTGGCAGAGGAGTTTGGAGGTGTAGAGTAGCTGAGAAGGTTCTGCTTTCAAACCCAAATATCAGTACAAAACCTGTGTAGTTCCTCTTCACATGTGCCTGGCAGCCCAGATCAGTGAGATGTGTGGAGTTTGCATACACCAGCAAAGTGGGGACTTCCTCAGTAATAAGTACAGAAGAGACTTGGATTACATTTAAATACCTAATAGCTGGAATTCATGAAAAGTGGAGCCCTAGGACCCTCCCTTTACTCTGTCCAAGCACTGAATCTTGGCTTTGGCTTCTCTCCTCCTATCTCATGCTAGGCTCTAGCTGGGAGGTCTAGTAATTTGCTTGGTAAGTGGTGGTAGTGGTTTGTTGTTTGTTCCCCTTTAAACCTTGTTTCCATCCTGATGCCCCAGTATTGGAAGTGATGCACAGGAAACTAACCATGAACTGCTAAAATTATACCCTTTCAGAATATGCTATGTTGCTATTCAGTTACAGCTGCACTTGGCTTTAGTTTAATGTTCTAGGTTTCTCTGACCAGTTGTATGTGGAAAGGTGGAGGAGATGCATACCACTGATCCCAAATAGCAACAGTGGAAAACTACAATTATGCAATACAGAAGCCTGGAAATAAATTCACTTGTAGATGAGGGTTGTTGACAAGCATTGGTCCCATTCCTCTTGCTCTTCATTCATCTTCTCTTCTCTTGCCAGCTCCCACTGCTGTCACCTTGTCCCCAGAGTGAGAACCCTAATAATGTAAAACTTTTTCCCTTGAGCTTTGAAGTGAGGACTTGATGCTACCCTATTAGAGTGACCCTATTAGGTGTTGTTTCCATCACAATGCTCCTAAAGAATGAGTAGCAGAAGAAAAGTCCTGTTTGTTTTTGCCAGTATTGCTAGATTTTGTTAATCCTGACAATGCAGTTTTGTTTTAAAGATCAAATGGCATTACTTTCCTCGTTTGCCAACCTGTTGCATGCCTGGCAGTTGCACAAAGTAGCCAAAGTTCTAGGTTTAAGGGATGAGAATAAGTAAAGTACATTCTAATGTGGTGATTGTGTTCTATACTTCTGCTGTCCTTCTGCAACATTTATTATTTATTAAAGGATTTTTTCTTTTGCAGCTTATTCTGTTCTGTGGGCATGTGACATGTATACTAGCATAATAATAATTTTGTTTTGGCAGTAGTTCCTAGTGAAAGCTTCCTTGTGAAAGATGATATACATGCCTGTAACCAAAAGGCGGTTTCTGCTAAACAGGGCTTTCAATCTGAAGACACAACCAGAGACTAGGTGGTTTAAAACAGATAAATGGGGAAGGAGTGAGGACTGTGTGCAAGTGCAATATAGTTATTTTGCATTTAGTTGTGTCGGTATGTCATCTGCCTTTTGTAAAAACAATTGCAGTTATTTGGTTGAAAACAAATGCTTCCATTTTGTGTCTTATTTTTATATATATATTAGTAAAAGCTGAGTTATCTAGCACCTTACAAGCTGACATGCTCTGTTAACTGGCATGTTGGCTTGTAAGAGAAAAGTGAAACCGGAAGTGCCCACTGTGGCACTTCCAGTTTCATGGAGCCCCCACAACCGGGGGAAAGCAGCCTGCGCTGTCAAGCCCCCACGGCCCCAGGCATAGGAGCCTGTGCGGGTTCCCCCCCTCCCTGTACCTCAGGACCTACAGGAGGGGCGGCGACACCCCAGACACAGTGGGACAGGCGGTGGCCCAAATGGGCAAAGATGCCTGTTCGGACCACTCAGTTATCCAGCATATTTTGTTATCCGGCACCCTGCACTCCCCCTGGGTGCTGGATAAAAAAGTTTTTACTCTGTGTGTGTGTGTGTGTGTGTGTGTGTGTGTGTGTGTGTGTGTGTGTGTGTGTGTGTGTGTGTACACATTCTGTATAAAAACAAAAAAAATTGTATTGCACTTGCTGGCATTGCAAATTCCTAAATGCTTCAGGACTCTACTAGCAAGATCCAGTCTGGTTTGTGTGGGTTATCATCCCATCCCCCTTCCCCCCACAGGACTGGTTGTTTTCAGTGTTTGGATAAGTGTTTAGGCTCTCTGTATCCTTTTGTCCATGAATAATTCACATCTTGCAAAAAAAGAAGCTACCTTTTATTATATTGAGCAACTAGTCCACTATTTTCTTTTCTTCCTGTTAGGAAGATGATGAAGATGAGGATTTGGATGAGAGTGATGATGATGACACTGCAGCTCTTCTGGCTGAACTAGAAAAAATAAAAAAAGAGCGAGCTGAGGAGCAGGCCCGAAAGGTAAGTTCTCCCAAATTAAGTAGCTTCTTTGCCTGTAAATTAACTTTAAAAAAATGCTGTGGTACCAAGTACTAGAAATGACACCATAAGATGGGATGACAGTTAGAACTGGTGGAAGTGAGTAAGTAGCAAGTTTAGTGCTGCTGTAGTCCTTTTGAAAGAGCACTTCCCAGATATATCATAGACTTCCTTTTACAACTAGTCATTACCACTAAAAATGTTTTTTGTAATAAGTGTTTGTTGGTGTAACCAGGTGCAGGTTGGTTGAGCCTGCATAGGCTAAAACCTGCATTCATGGGCAATTACCAGGTGTAGGATGGGCAACTGCACAAACTTTTCCTAAACTCTCTGCCAGCGTGCTTAGTTGCAGCCTACGGCAATTTTGCTTTTCATGTGCCAAGTACTTCTTGATTAGAAACACTGTTTTTAGCATTGATTTGGACTTCTGGTGACTCAGTTAATGCTACCAGTATAATTTAATTTAGGATTGTAGTTTCAGCTTTCCCCTGGTAGAAGGTAGTGCACTAATTTGATGTGTATACCCTTATGCCTGAGTTTTATTTAACTAGCTGCTTTTTGTGACACATCACAGTTTTGCCATCAGAGGGAGCTCAAGTCATAAATACACATCCTCAAGCCATACTGATGTGATTGCACATGAGTAGTAATCAAAGAAGGAACCAAATGAAATTTTTATAGTATGGGAATTAATCTTTTCACATTTTGATCCAGGACTTTGTCCCGAGTTCATTTGCACTACTGTGGGAGAGAGAGGATCCTCAGTGGTTCCCCTAGCAGGGAATGGCTTCTACGCTAACCCCACTTACAGCTACTGGTGTAGGAGGTGGGAAGGTGTGACTGCAGTGCATTGTGCTTTGATTATCCCTGCTTAGCAAATATACTTTTTGGGGTAGAGGGATTTACTCTATAACAGCTGGGTCCAAACTAGAATCTGCCAGAATTGTGGACCTCAGAGTCTGTTCTAGCTTTCCCTCCTGCGGAATGCAGTCAAGAACCTAGCCTGCAGCACTGATGGCACTGGACGTATTTTCAGAATTGCATAGTGTATTGTAAACAGGAAAACAAAAAATGAGGAACTGTTATCTCTCTTCTTGGGGAAAATCTCTTTCCAAGCCATGCAGTTTGTCCAATAAAATATATACATTATAAGTAGGATGTTCTCAAAGGCAGTATAGGTTAGGATATATCAAGCTGGTTATGTTTAATCCCTTTCAGGGAACCTGAATTTATACGTTATATAAATAGTATCTTTTGTTGGTCCAACTGTATAATTGGGGGAAAGATTAAATCAGCTTTTGGGCGCAAAGTGCCCTTCCTCAGGTTGTGCTCGAAAGCTTGTCTAATCTTTGTTCCAGCTCTACAGTTGGTCCAGTAAAAGGTATCACTGAAAAAATCCTTGCCTTATATTTCTTGGACCATCACAACTGCAACAACATTCCAAACTTACTCAAATGTAGATGCTAACATTTTAAAAATATGCTTTTAAATCTTTATCTTGTCAATCCCTAAAAGACCTTCAAAACCAGCTACCTGCGTGGAATTTTGTTTGCGAGAGGTAAAGGGCTGAGTTAACCTTGCTTGATTTGTTTTGGGGGTTGTTTTGTTTGTTTTTGTTAAAGTTTTGGTTTCTGAAACTACTGATACTTCAAATACCAGCTGTTGAGCTTATTGCACTAGCTGTTTTTAACTTGAGTCACTTTCAGGTATACTTTACCAAGATGCATAAGAATTACAGCACCAACCATGCATAATTATACAAGTAATCTGAGAAGCTATGCTCTGCAGTAATGACCTGGCACAACAGGATTTATTTAACACTCTGGCAGTGTTGCCTCACAATTTTCCTACACTTAAAACTTATTTAAACACAGTGGATTCTGTGTTAGCTGTATGTGCCACAATAAAAGGAAATTTCTGTTTTGATAACCTTAATGCAGATTCTTCTTACAATAAAAACTTAGAATAAGTTTTCAGTTTGAGTGGAAGCTGGAATTATACTTTTGTATTAACAGTTTAGCTTGTTGCAGTCACCCACGTGCCTGTGGCACTGCAATTTGAATTTATGGCTGTAACTCGCTATACACAATGTTACATTTATATTTTTAGATTTATATTAAATATACAAAACACGGAGACAACAGATCGATCAGATTTCTAAGCTGTCTTTTTTTCTATGCCTGTAGAGGGCACTCAAAGCTGTAAAGTGCCTAGTACAGTATTCATCTTCATCTTCTGGCTAGTACAATATTCATCTTATTTCTGCTATCTTTTTTCCCCCCTCTCAACTGCTAATACTCTTTATCCTCATTATAATGCCTGTTTTAGGAGTAAGTCAACATGAAAGAACACATGTATATGTCAAGTACGGGCAAAGACTTGAAGTGAATCACTGCCTCCTTTATTGCTGAATAAATATATATAGATTTAATCTGGAGGTATGAACTGTAACACTTGCTGTCTCTCGACTAATGGCTAGAAAAGGCTGAAAATTGTTCTCTTGTTGACATAAAAGCATTTTCATTAAATACTGATGACTTCTAAGAACTCAGTTTTATATTCGTAATTTTTCTACAAACATTTAGACTGCACTAATCAAAATGTCAATGTGAAAAACAGGCAATCCATTACTTGCCAAGTGATAGGAGGACAATTGTGTGGGAGCATACCTTTTAAAAAACTAAGAGAACTACACAAGAGAAAATTATTCATCTGCACTGGACCCACCACAGTGGGCTTTGTGAACTTGACTTCACCAGTTTAATTGGGACAGTGTCTGTAAAAATAGAATTTACAAAATATTCCAAAATAATGTAACTTAATAATTCCTTAAGTGTAGATCTGTTCCCTAAGGCTCATAGGAGGGGACCACCACCCTGTTAGTGACATCAGGTTCACAAAGCTCACTGTAGTGGTATCAGTGCAAGAAATCAGAAAAAGAAAGCCTGTTTTTAAGCATAGCATGGTTTGGTGGCTGATGCAAGGAACTTGGAATACAGAAATCTTTGGGGATTTTTCCCTTATTTCACTCTCAAACTTTCTATACAATCTTATTCAAGACACTTAAAAACCAAATCACTTTTTCTTGTAGGAACTGTTTTCACAGCTGCTGGGCTGTGAGAAGAAAAGTTCTTTCTCCTTTTCTCTCCCGCCATGAGCAAGCTACCTATGGCCTTGGCTTCTAGTGTCCTTCAGTCAGTACAGCTCCATTGCAGCCACAGTAGCTGTTAGGTGCCCCGCATAAAGAGTGGGTTCCATATTTAGTTGTGGGTTTCATAAGAGGAGAAATTTAGGATTATGAGAAGGTGTTACTGTCTAGTTCCTGGAGAGATTGCACAGAAGTAAACCATTGGCTCCCTGCATTCAATCTTGCCCGTATAATATAGGACTGCAGCCTCCAGCTTTGGTTCATCAAGTCTTCTCCTGCCCCAGTGGGTGCATCCTCATAGATAACAAAGTGTTTTTGGAACCTCTATGGGTATTTTATGGCTAACTGCATTATGTGATGTGGTTGTGAAGTGCTTTGCGCATCCATAGAGTTTGACGTCTTTCAGGTTATTATTATTTTATAAACTCTGGCCTAGGAATATTTGTGTACATAGTTGAATTCAGGGTAATACCTTATTTACTCAAATATAAAATGTCCCTGAATACAAGATGATTCCCCCAATAATTATATTCTGTATATGGAACATTTATAAATTTGTTATAATTTTCCAAGTATGGAATCTAATTATTGAAGGTTTGCCTTGAATTTGTCTACCTCCCCTTGCTTCAGCAGGGAAAACAAATCTTGGGGGGGTCAGGTAGTTCCCTTGCCCTTGGCCTCCTCCCAACTTCTTTCCTTTGCAACCGCTCCCCCCATTATAGTCAGACCCTGCTCTCCCTGAGCACATGGAAGTGAGACGCAAATTTGAAAACACTGACCTTGAAATAAACAGCTGTAGAAATCTGCATGTGTAGTACCCATAGATTTAGTTCATCCAGAATTGATGCATGTTGTCTTTTTTAAAAACTGCTGCAAGTTTTAGCATAGGTACTCTATAAACACAGTTTTAAGCAGTACATTGTACCTATGTGCATATAGTCCAAATTACGTATGATGTTGGCTGTCTCTCTTCCCCCTACCCCTCACTGCTTACCTTCTGGAGAGCTCTGGCTCCAACTCTGGGGCAGTCAGCAGCAGCTGTGCTTATGGCCTTGGCCTTGGCCTGGCCCAACTAGAGGGAATCAGCAGTGGCAGCTCTGGGCCCATTTGGGCCAGAGCTAGACATAAGCAATTGGTGGGGAGGGAGGATAGGCCAGGTTGTGCTGTCTGCCCTGTGCTTCTCCTAAGCCACACACCCTGTGTGCCCCTCTCCCACTATATGACCCACCCTAGTCTGGGGTAGGCGGCAGCCCAGTTCTGGGTTTGAGGCCGAAGCTGCAGCTTAGCAGCCACCTGCCTCAGACTGGTCTACAAGTCTAAGAAAAGACTTTCTCCGTGCCCCTGCCCCATGTCGATTGAAGGAAAATAACCTTGTCTTGGATTTGAGTAAATATGGTAGTTACTTTGCAGTCTCCTCGCTAGTCCTCCATTCTGCTGTATTATCTATAGTATAATTATGAAAGCCAAAAGTGGAACTAATCCTAGACAAACATCACTGGGCACACAGGCTTTTGTTGAGTAGCACAACACAAAGGTGCAGGAGCATATATTTGAAGGTCAAATTTTTGTTGGCTTTGCTCTATCGGGAGCCTGCAGGGCCAAAATCTTAAAGCTATCCTGAGTCCAAATACAGTTCAATATCAGGTTGCATATATCCTGTATTAATATTGCTACAGATATATGATTTATTTTTTTAAATAAAATTTTATGTTGTGTGTTAACCCTAAAACACCATTATTTTGAGTCCCTTTTAGGATACATTGCATGATTTTGTGATTTATATTCTCTAGCTACTTCCAAATCTGATATAAAATCAGAAGAATTCTTTTAAAGT